CCAGGGTGCCTAGTCTCCAGTGTATTAATGTAAATTTTATTGTAGTTCAGACTTTTAAATTTAGACGAATTAATAATTGTTTTTTTTTAATTACTTCCCCTCTTGACGTGTACGGGAAGATAGGTAACCTAAACTTTTTTTCAAATCAAGATCTTATCAAGGTTTTTTTTTATCACTTTGTCGTCGTACCTAATATTATCATCATCATCAGCCTATTAATGTCCCCACTGCTGGGGAACAGGCCTTCCCTATGGATGGAATAGGGAGATTGGGCCTTGACACACCACGCGGGCCCAATGCGGATTGGCGGGTGCTAACGACTGCAGACGCAGCCTAATATTATATTCAAACCAAAATATAGCTTTCTAGCATACGGACGGACAGACGGTGGCTATGTACTTGGAATCCTCCAAAGTTGGATAAATAATTTTATAATTTAGAGGAACAACAACTTACTCAATCTTAATAATAAAAATATCTAGGCAACAAAGGTATAATATCCATTTCATAATAGAGTTTACTTATGAAACTAGCCGTAAGTACCCACGTTTTCCATTCGCTTTCAGTCTAGTAAGGGCGTACAAAAAGGTGTATTAAAATGGTATGAAAATATAAAAAACTGGCCAAGCGCGAATCTGGCCTCGCTCTATTAGGGTTCCGTAAAATAATTTGTTTGTTTTCGTCACAACTTACTTGAGTACATTATGGATCGGAATTTTCATTATTTGTGTCAATACAGCAAATAGAACATCATACACCAAAATTTCACATTCTCAGACCCCATATCAAAAATTACAACTTTGACGGACACATTTCATACATTTCTTTGTTATTGAAAAATAATAGTCAGCGCAGACAATAGATTTTTTTCCGAGGAGGACTTTTCAATTCAATTCAATTCGTTTAATGCATATCCACAATATACAAAAAGAACATTTTGTCCGCGTATTGTGAAAAAAATGTGCGCCGAGAACTTGCCACAGGCTCAACGCACACGGTGTGCGGACATTTCTTGCTCGGAAATTTAGTGAAGCACCACGCAATATTTTGAGATTATGCTGTAATATTATTCTCATCAAGTTGAAGTAAAAGGAGAAGACGTTCTATAAGAGAACACTGGGTTCATCCCTTTATATCGGCATGATTATATATTTGTATTGTTGAGGTTTTTTATTATGTTAACAATGTTGCACGATCTTCCTGAAAGATAAATTAAGAATGTTTAAGTAAGCGTATAAAGATGCTACTAAACATACGAATAACATACTTGAAGTTGATTTAATAAATTGATTTAATAAATTACTTAAAATAGAAGGCTCAAAAGATATGACGCTAAGATACTATAAAAAAGTGATTACTTAATTTTAAGTTTTTATTCCAGAACTAGACAACCCTCCTCAATTATTTGGTTAATCCGTTATGATTATTTCTGGTAATGAAATTTATAGTATAGACGCTAAAGAATTCCTTCAACATATATAGGTATCACCGTTGTCCTTTCGATCGTGATACTCTTTTTTGATGTATCTAAAGGAGCACTTTATTTCTATTTCTTTAATTAAAATTTACAATCGATTTCATGCGACATTGTATCATCACGCGTTGCCGCCTTTGCATAATGTTCTATTTTTTTCGAAGACTCTCGCGTATTTTTGTCCTGTCTGACACCGAGGGACCGGTGTCCACGGTAGTACGGGATACTTTTTGTCCGCAGTATTTTTAATCCGTCGCATGCGTTACTCTGGCACCCGCCAAACCGCACTGGGCCCGCGTGGTGGGTAATGGCCCAATCTCCCTATTCCATCCATAGGGAAGGCCTGTGCCCCAGCAGTGGGGACATTAATATGCTGATGATGATGATGATGCTGCATTACTCGATGCAGTTGTAAGCGATCTATTTCGGCGGACAAAAGTCCCTCGTCTGCGCAGACTATAAAAAATATTAGTATTAGTATAAGTTATACATATCTTAAACTTAACGAGCTCTAGACAATAAACTGTTACTAGCAAGGCTAAATAAAGAATTTCAATCCAGTATATGAGGTGTCCAGATAAAATCCTAAAACCTGGTTACAGCACCACCTGCCAGCTAAAGCTGTTGTCTAAATCATCCTGGGATCCACTCAAATGTACATATAAAATATTATTAAAAACGGTAAAGCTATTTAGCAGGACTCATTAATAATGTACACTTGGAAAGAAGAAATATTATGTCATATTTGAGTGATTTTAATCCTTACGCTTTCATGCCTAAGCCACTGAATCGATAATGCTGCATTTTGGTATAGGAACAGATGGGATCTTGAAAATGGAAAATAGGCTACTTTTTGTAGTGAAAGAAAACTGAACCTCATCAGCATCTGCCTATTAATGTACAGAGGCCTTCCCTATGGATGGAATAGGGAAATTAGGCTATGAACCACCATGTGGGCCCAGTGTTGATTGGTGGGTGCTAACGGCAGGTGCAGCTGGAACCAACAGCTTGACGGGCCTTCCAAAGCTTTGGGGGAACAGGTAGGTAATAATTACCCATTTCGAAAATTTCTAACGTGCCACAATCTCAAGCTGAAGTTAAATACCTGAGCCATCGAGCTCCTCAAATAAATAAAACTTAAAGGGGGTAAAATTGGGAATGAAATTTTATATGGGAAACCGATCAAGACTCGCACACAGTCGCAGGCATCTGTGATGCAATTATATTTATTTATATACCTCTATAATCAAAAATTCCAACTATATTAATAGCCTCCTCATACTTATGAAACTTATTAGAACCTTTTTTTCAGTTTGAATATTAAAACACTAATGTAAATAATGTATGCCACTATGTTCTGAATTTTCAGATAATCCAACCACTGTATATATGTATATGAGAATTATTGATATAGCAATACTTTTATGGCCCCTTTGCCATTTAAGATCTAAGTAATGACATTAAATTAAACTGCTAGTAACATGTTCAATACGTTACATGACTTTTGTCTAGACTGATTCTTTTGCTTGCCTTTTGGAAAGATTAAAAGGAAGAAAATTTTAATGTCACTTCATGACGTTTTTTTTATATACAAGATGTTTATACTCTTAATCTAATTAATATATTAAATATTAAAAGATCATCAATAATTTTTAATGGTAAGTGTTTTTCTAAATTCAAAAAGGGTTTTTTCCTTTAAATATTTTGGTAATTTTCTTGTAGATTTTGTTTTAGCAGGAGACAAGTTTGCCATGCAAATGGCTGTTGGCCTGTTTGTTTAATTTCTTTAAAAAATGATGAGAACATTATAATTTTCTTTTGTTTCATGAATTTTCTTTTGTTTTGTGCCATGTGCTAACATGCGGACTGTTTCTTTTCAGCCAAAGGCGTTTTGTTTACAATAGAAAATTTTATATGTAATAATCCTTTGTCATTACAAGGAAGTGCGGCTTTTACTTTTACATCCATTCAACTTATAACAAAGATTCAGCAGAGACAGTATGCACATGTAAATTTATACTATAAATAAATTTATCCGGTAAGAGAAAATTATTCCACTATGTAAAATTCAGGTAAAGATTATAAACATAAGATGATAATTGGACGTAGCTTCTAAATTCAACAAAAATTATTGGCAAATAAAAATCATTAGTAATTTTAATATACAGACAACCCAAATTGAGTTTGAATTTTGCTTAGACTCCCCTTGCAATTAATAGTTCAATCCGGCGAATCCATTCATTTAGGTATGGGGCAAGAGTACTTTTTAATTCTATTTCAACCATATTCCTTTAAAACACCATTTTGTCTTTCCCTATAAACCATTATTTTTTATATGACATGCTACACCACCTATCTTTGTATACTGCCTGCCACTTAACATCAGGTGGGGTACAGTTGAAACTTAATATTTTTAAGTTTAGTTTCAAAACTGTCCTTTAAATAGTGAAATCTTATTAAATTATGTCCCTAAGCATAGCAATTATGATTATATTGATATAACCAACTGACTAATATTGTTAATTAAAACAAAAAAGACATATACATTTATATCACACAAAATAAAAACCTTTTTGTGCTTAATGAAAAATTATCTACTAATCTGCTTATGATTGACATATTGAGTTAAGTTTTCAAGATAACATAAGTCAATAACAATACAATATTTGATATGAAACCATAAACTGACAGGACTTAAAAAATGTATCAGAAAGGCAAACAAAATCGCAAACTGAGTCCAGACAATTTGGTACAATATTTTAAGCAAAAGTTAGTGTAAAATCAATTAATTTAAATAAATTTCCTAGGAATGCTATGCATTTTGCTGAACAGTGATTAAAAATCGTAGGGTAATAGGTTACATACAACAGGTGTGCATGGCTATAAGGCTGTGCTACTTTAGATAAGGTAAAAATTGTGTTCAAAAAGAAGCACTAGGCAACCTAATGAAGCAGCAATGGCCAACAAATATCTAGAAACAGCAAATATATAGTGTATTTGGTACACCAGTATCGAAACCGTTCCAGTGATCATTTCCTACAAACAAAATTAACCAAAGATATCTGCTATCTTATATTAATTACACCAACCAGGCAAAGGATATGAATATGAGTGTAAACCAATTATTTTAAATATGAAAAATTACGCAAAGAATCTGAACCAACAAAAAATGCAGCAATATTGTGTAACTCATTTTAAATTTTGGATCTCTACAAGTGTTTTTGGCAATTTAAATGTGAATATAGAAAATATAAACAACGCCGCATCTGAATTAATAGTACTTGACTTTATCAGACTTGATTAAAATGATATAAATTTGATGGAGATTGAAAAAGATCTCCCAAAACACAAGGGCCATCGCAAAGCTGATTATAAATTCAAATGTAATTGCAACTCGCAAGCAACATAAATTATAACAAGCTATTTTTAATACGTGGTAAAAAATACTTGTACGTTATAAAATAATAAATACAATTCATTACGGTGAGGAAAATCTGTTCAATATTAAAAACCACCGAATACGTACCCGATACAACAAGTGCTTCGTTTGGACCACAAGTGACGAATCCCCAGACCATTTTCAAATAACTAAATAAATTAAATTTGAAACTAAATAAATCTGATAAACAAAACCATAAAAAGGTACCTAACGCATAAATTTATTTACGTCAAATCTTCATCAAAACACCACAGCTTCATCAGAAAGAAATGGAGAATGGAGGGGCGCGTATCACAGGGCCGCGTTCCGTATCCGTACTGGGCTGCGTTCCAATCATAAACTCCCGGAGTAACAAATGTAACAAATGCAAAATGTGAGATAAGTTCCATACATTTTATGTCAAAATTGAAACGTCAGGGAAAAAAGTTGCACTCAGAGCGTAGGTTTGGAACGGAGCCCTGTATCGTTTTTGGAGGTGTATTCCGTAATTTATACCAGTATACTGGCCAGTGCTAATGACGTCATGAATCGACGCTATACTGGTGAATTGTTCCGAAATATATTGGCCAGTGCACTGACGACAGACTCAGTCTCTCCTTTTCATTCTGTGTAGAGAATGACAAGGATAAACTGTTGTCAAATTTAATTTTAGGTTTAGAGAAACAAGCCAGGAGCGACACCATTAAAACTTTTAACATCAGTCTCTCCTTTTCATTCTGTATAAAGAATGAAACCCTAGTAGGGTTGCAACGATATATCGGAATATCGATAATATCGAGAGACTAAATTTGAACACAATAATGGTGCCAATTCTGGCGTGATTCTCTAAACTTCAAACTAAATTTAACATCACTCTCTCCTTTTCATTTTGTATAGAGAATGAAAAGTTACACACTGTTGTCAAATTTAAGTTTAGGTTTAGAGAATCATGTTAGAATCGACACCAATATCAATTAATTTACCTGCTATGACTATCTAAATTGAATAATATCGAAATAACTATTGCTTTGAAATCGCAAGAGCTTATAGATGTATTAAAAAAATCTTGAACCCCAAGAAATATACTAAACTGGCATGATTCTCTAAACCTAAAATTAAATTTGACAATAGTGTATCCTTTTCATTCTTTATACAGAATAAAAAGGAGAGACTGATGTTAATTTTAGTTTTAAGTTTAGATAATCATGCCAGAATCGACACCAACGTATATAGGTATAATCGTATACCTAATGGTAACTTATGCACTTAAATAAAATCCTTGCCTCTCTTTCTAGATAATTGTCAACTACTGATTAATTGAAATTTAATATCATTGTAATATAACACAAAATAAAATTAAGAATGTTATACAAATCGTAAATTTTTTAAGCTCGCAAAGTCAAGAAAGTAATATAGGTAAAGTACTTTTGGAAGCTTTGGGCTTACGCTATTCTGAAGCCATGGGCACGCCCCTGATGTGTGGGAGACTAAGCAATTTGCGTATTTGATGTGCGCTAAAAAACCGACATAGCTTGGAAAAGCACGAATGTAGTGAAAACTTAGCGAAGGCATTCGCAAATGTCGTCCCACTAGGGACACGAACAAAGTATAGTTACTTTGTGGTATCGAGTACTTTTCCTTTCGATACCGATACTTTTGTACTCGATACTTTGTATTCGATACTTCTACTAAATGAGTACTTTTTGGCAAGTATCGATACCTTTAAAAATTTGGATAAGCGCCTCATATTGATGGCAACGCCATCTTGTTAAATCATAGCAAACCTTCTAAAACGTTCCATAGGGTATGTGACAAGTTTTAGGCAACGATCTCACGTTATTGACTAATGTTTATGGAGTCCGTAAAAAGTGGATATTCATCATTCAGTTGTGTATTTCAGTAAAAATAAGCAAATCAAAAACTCCATTTTCAAGTTGCCGCGAAAAATTTTCTCTGGACAATATGGCGTCTTACTAGTGTGTGACGTCACACGACTGTTATTAAAACGTCAAACGATACAATGTAATGTCACTTTGACCGGAAGTTTACTTGCGTGAGACGTCATTTTAGGCTCCGCCAATCCCAAGCGTTTTGGGTTACGTGACAATAGATAAGAAAACTAATATCTTTTTCGTTATTTTGGCACTTTATTTTTAATACTGTCAAATGCCCTATTGCATTGTTATAAAGTCAGTAATTGACATATTCAAATTCTTTCCAATCTGTGATTGTGTTTATTTTGCGCTTTGTTTTATTTCATAGTTATTTATTTAGCGACCATAGGAACTGTGATTGATTCGCCGTTTATTGTGCTTTTCGCTTGACTGTATTTGATTTATTCAAGTGTAACACTATTATTCTGTCTGTGCTGTGTATACCTATTTGAAACCACCTGAAAAAAAGACGGACGTAACCTCTTCTATAATTAAATCTTGAGTGAAGCATGCCAATAGCAGCCGTTAACTACGTGTCAGATTCAAGTTAACATAAGTGGGTATAATGTTTTTTGATGATTAAAATTCAAGAAAAGTAAGTTTAATTTGAAACAAATCTGAAAAGTTTCATACTTTTAAATTGTTTAAGATTTAGATCATTTTAATTAACATTTTAATTATGAATGTAATATTAATGAACACTTTTTTAGTGTCAGAAATCACAGCTATTTTCTTTTCATTATATAATATAGCAATTTGTGAATTTACGTGTCCTGTTTCTGTTTTTCATGAGTACAGTATCGATACTTTCTATTCGATATCGTGTCCCTACGTCCCACATATGCGGGTTGACGCATTCGTGCTAACGAATGTGAGTGATCTGATCAGGATTATAATTTTATTTTTTTGGTTTCTTGTCGTGGCTGAAACACAAACCGTGCGAGCCGATAAAAAAAATCCTGCTTGGCGCGATTTCATCAAGCGTGTTTAACGAAAAAGCTGGCTCAATGCATTTTGCGAGAAACTCGCCAACAAACATATGAATGTGTCACACTCACCCCGTTTTCTAATGTCAATAAAAAATAAAAAGGAAAAAACATCGATATATCGATAATATCGAGTTAAAATAGTCGATATATCGGATATAGATATTTTCCTGCTTTCGATATAAATATCGATATTTCAAAAGACTTTGCATCCCCAGTTAAATGTGACTAAACTTAACTGAAAATATGAACAATATTTATTTTACCTTGATAAATTTATGTACATATTTGTTTTTTGTAGTCTACTCAAAGAGACATCTGTTGAGGTGATACTGCAAAATAGCTAAATTTGGTATGTATTTTTTTACCTTAGCCATACCTTTGGGAGCGAGCACGGATGCGCGCACAAACTTTAAAGTGATGCTAGGATGCGCGGTAGTAATATTTAAGCAGTGGGACTTCCGATTTTTTACATTTACCTTTTTTATTTCATACTTTTAAGTTAGGATTATATTATGATCATACCGCAGTCTTGTCACATCCTTAAGGGAGTTAATATCGCGGAGATTATGAAGTACCATACCTACCTACAGTAAGTCCTAGTTATCTATAAAACATGCATTAGATATATAGTTAAAGCCTTGATTTAACTGCACACATTTTTCCGAAAATTAAGTCATTAACTGTATAATATATATACAATATATACACTTATATCTTAAACTATATATTGGTGTCAATTCTGACACGATTCTCTAAACCTAAACCTTAAAATGACAACAGTGTATCCTTGTCATTCTCTATACGTATTGAAAAGGAGAGATTGATGTTAAATTTAGTTATTTAGTTTTAAGTTTAGAGATTCTCAAAAACTAAACTAAAATTTGCCAACAGTGTCTCCTTGTCATTCTCCATACAGAATAAAAAGGAGAGGTTGATGTTAAATTTAGTTTTAAGTTTAGAGAATCATGGCAGAATCGACACCATTATATAGTTAAAGTAATTAAATCATCTAATCAAATTATCTAATGCATGCAAATTTTATAGTTAACTAGTACCCATTCAAAATGACATACATCTTGCTTATGTTCTTTTTAGTAGTTTAGGAGTACCTAAATATATGTATAATTCATTTTGTACTTTTATTCGTCGACTATCTAAAGTTGGCAGTGGTGCCAATTCTGGCGTGATTCTCTAAACTTAAAACTAAATTTAACATCAGTCTCTCCTTTTCATTCTGTATAGAGAATGACAAGGATATACTGCTGTCAAATTTAAGTGTAGATTTAGAGAATCATGCTAGAATCGACACCACTGGCTGTATAATTTCCGGCTTTAAGATTGTGATATACACAGTCAGGTCATAAGTATTGTAACACAGTAAACTTTTCTTTTAGAATGCTGGCCACAAAAAAGTTTATTGAATTCGAATTTCGAATTGTTCATGAAAATAAAAATGTATACTCTTTAGAATTTTACTCATTTTTAAATATGGAGTGGACGCTTAAAGAAGTATGTGTTGCAGTTATTGCGCTGCATCGTTGCGGTTACGCGCCAATTTAAATTTTTGACATACTGAAAAATTTTAATATAACCAAAAGATTCGTTTATCGTACCACCAAACGATACAATGAAGACTAGTGTAGATGACAGGTCAAGAAGTGGTCGCCCTCGGTCTGTTAGGACTCCAGCAGTGATAAAAGCTGTGAAGGCGCGAATTCAAAGAAATCCCAAACGTAAGCAGTGACTGTTGGCCCTTCAGATGGGGTTAAGCAGAACCACGGTGAAAAGGGTGTTAAATGAAGGGTTAGGGCTTCGGGCATATCGAAGAAAAATAGGACATCGTTTCAATGCTCGTCTAATGGACCTGAGACTGAAGAGATACTGCGCTTTGTTGAAACGGTACGCGGGAAAAAAATATGGGGAAAAGAGCTACAACAAACAAAATGCTAAGGTGTACGCACACAGTAGTGAAGAAGCGAGCAACCGTATTCCGCGTGTCCAACGAGGTCATTTTTCATCCTCGCTCATGGTATGGTCGGGAGTTTCTTATTGGGGCTTACATTGGTGTCGATTCTAGCACCATTCTCTAAACCTAAACTTAAATTTGACAACAGTATATCCTTGTCATTCTCTATACAGAATGAAAAGGAGAGACTGATGTTAAATTTAGTTTTAAGTTTAGAGAATCACACCAGAATTGGCACCTAACTAATAACAGAGGTACATTTTTGTGAGAAAGGAGTAAAAACGAATGCGGTTGTGTATCAAAATACAGTCCTGACGAACCTTGTGGAACCTGTTTCTCATACCATGTTCAATAACAGGCACTGGGTATTCCAACAAGATTCGACGCCAGCTCATAGACCGAAGAGCAAACAAGACTGGCT